CATACATTACGAATTTTCATTTATACATTTTCTACTTAAATATTAAAATCTTGTTAAACGTTAATGAATTACGTACCTATACAGAGTAAAAGGATTAGGTCAACATTGATCAAGTGCCTATTGAAAAACAACGATGAGAAATACAAAAAAATAATATATCAAGTAAGAATCTGATGATAAAAAAATGTTTAGCAATAAATAACTTACTGAGAACCGTAATATTTATTTCTAGCTTTTATTGTTCACACATCAGTGCAGAAGTACCGATATTGAATTACAAGCTTTGTCTGTTTTTCCGTTAAACGAGTCGTTACTGGTTTCGGTTAGTATTTTTACGAAAGTTTCTTTACGTTATAAATAACAAAAGTAATTGCAACAGGCAAGTAAAAGTATTTTTGATTATACGAATTGAATTATTATTAAATTTTTATTTTTCAGATGATAACTGCGGTTGCGTCGTACTTGGTTTTAATTTATCAATTTCGCTACCCTTAATTATTGCGTGCTGTTACAATAAGTATAGCAGCAAATTTAACACAGATAGCAACTGTATTTTGCCTATTTCCTAAACAAATTGACATTCAATGTACAAAGCATTGAGCATAAAAAACAAAAAATGTTTCAGAGGTCCATTTTTTCCTATGCGAAGCCATTCCAAAGTTATAAGAGACGAAAACGATCATTTTCAAATTAATAAAATAGCTTTGCTACAGCTAACAACGTGTTTTGTTCAATTAAAATCATCCAACACAAATTTTGTATGGTATAAAAAAAAAAAAAAAAATTTTAGATTGCTTTGTATGTAACATTTATGTTGTAATTTTATCTTCCGGTTCGATGATAAATAAAAGTCGTGCGTTTAAAAAGCGTAGTTTCTCTTTCATAAATTTGGTCGGCCTCTTGTTATTTTTAGCTAAGGTCTCTTTTGAATGGGTGCAAAAAAAAAAAATTTACAAAAAAAAATTTTAAATAAAAAGAAGAAAATTACGCAAGATGTTATGAAAAAGCCCAGCAAACGATGTATATCTGTGTAGCGGCAGAAGAGAATAAAGTGTCGATATAGTCGTACACCTATATATACAATTTAAACCAAGACCGCGAGAGAGTGAGCGCCGGCTACATGGCGGCGCAACAACAACAACAACGTTTGATGCACGCTCGAACGAGGGTCGGCAAAACAAGATGTTATTTATAGAAAAATTTTTGCGCGTTCGCGATTCAGACACCCCGTACCACACATATAACTTGTTAAAAGACACACACATTTACCGATCTTTTAATACAATACGTACAGGTATAAGTCAACGCACGCGTCTGTGACCCACTTAGCTTTGAGTAAAATAATCGTGTCACCCTAAGTAAATTATAAATTACCAATATCGTTTATGTTTGAGGGCGGCGGGACGAAATAATTGCAGACAATACGACCTCGTCGAATGATTCCGATGCTCCATAAAAAAAAAATTAAAAAAAAAAAAAAAGGTCACCAGCCCTAATATTTTCGCGTGTTCCGACTTACACACACGTGTATATTGATAAATTTATATAATATGACACATACGTATTGCAGTATTAATCGTGTAAGTATATTTAATAAGCGTCAAGTAAATCGATCGGAACAGTAAAAGATTCCAGCAGGGGCCCGATCCGCTAACTGTATTTTGACTCGTGACGCAGTCGATTTTGACCAATCTGAGGGTGCCCTTTAGCGGTGTGTCAAGTAAGTGCATCACGTGCCGACGCAGTCAGATCATCGATCCGATCCTTTATTGGGCCAGACACCTGCCTTGTACGTACAAAATCATCGTACAAATTGTGCTAATTTGAGTTAAGAAATAAATAAAGACGAGCTCATTTGTATTTCGCAAAGTCAGCGACTTACGAAAAACCGCGTTGTGTACTTACGTACGAACATATTAATTATAACATTTGAGGCCCACGCGTACGTATATGTAGGTAGGTACCAATTATGCATAATTACCATACGAGAAATGGGTACTAGGTACAGAGCCCCCCAAGCTGTTGAGCTCTGAAAAGCAAGATCGTTAAACCTCTCCCGCGCGCAAGGCCGTCTCCGAAAACAACAGAGCAGTAAAGACATAATATACCGAGTAATAACGTATTTTTCGCTGCTTAAGTGACGCGTGATAAACAATTAAGACAAAAGGGTCGGTAAATCTCGCCGTGTACATCCTGCATGTACCTATACACTGGTGTATATGTATCCTCGACGGAGTTGATCATGATGCGTCAATTAAATAAGACTATACACCTATAGGCACAGACATTTGTGTACCAAATTAACCGGAAGCAAAGCATACGCCGCCACGCCATTTGCGTTATTTTAAATACCTACTACCTACTTATTCGTTAACCAGCCTCCTGCTCGCATCTTTTTCTCTCGCTTATAAGTAAGTATGCCGTTTGTTTCGTACCTACTTACTATAGTATCAATAATCTAATGCGATCTGATGTGTGTAAGTGTGTTGTGCTTCTTCGCCACACAGCTTCGGTCTCTCTCTCTCTCTCTCTCTTTGCGGCAGCGGTGCGGCGCCTGCGTAAAGCTTGTTTACAACTGCGAAATTGTGAATAACCTCCCGCTTCTCGCCTCCTTCGCCGCCGCTACCCTGGCCTAGCTATAGCCGCGCGTGTTGTGGACGTATCCTACACCTTATACTCGTCAGTGTCGTCGTCGTCACACAGTATACAGATCAGCAGACAGTATACACATGACCTTTCCACAAGATGGACACGAGCCACTGATTCAGCGAGCTGGTTTTGTCATCCTGGCTTGTTTGTAATTATTGTTTAATATGATACAACTCTTTCAAATGCAACGTAGCCCACAAGTGACATATACGACGAATACGACGATTCGTCTTCACATTTTTTTGAAAAAAACCTTAATGTACACGTCCGTGTCCTGTTTCTGAGTGCTGCTGTGGCTCCCTCCGTTTGTCATATTGTCATGACTGTCATATGCATCAGGGTGTGTATACATGTGTGTTAAGAATGCACTAACTTACACGCGTGATCGTGCATGTGCAAGCAAGTTTGTTTTTCTCGTGTCGTACCGTTGTAAGTATACTTGTACTGTCGAAAGTAAAGTAGTAAAGTGCGCCAGAGAGAGAGAGAGAGAGAGTGTGTTGTGGAACGCGAATTCCATAGCAGCAAGATATAGGTATAAGGTAGTATATATTTTTTATAGTACTCATTAGTCAAGAGAGAAACCAGAGCATCGTATATTAACACAACTAGCAATAGCACACATGCATGCACGAGTCAGCGTGAGTCGCCGTTTGGATTTTGGAATTTTGGATTGGTCTTACGGGAGTTACGGGCCCTGCTGCAGCACATAATTATCATCATCGGTAAAAGTGCAGTTTGTAGTGTTGTGATATACGTAAAAAAATATACCTACATCAAGTCGCAAAATAGTGTTTTTTGTATTTAAACACCTTCGAAATTTCCGTATCAGTGATTTTAAAGCACAATTTATATTAATTACAATGGCATAACCAAATTTGAAAAAAAACAGCTCTTTTTACGACGCACATTGTTTTCCGTGGAGTTGGTATACCTATACTTAACCCTGGCTCTCTCCTCCGGCGCTGCCTGCAAGCCAGGCACAAGAGAGAGAAAAAGAAGCAAAAGCAAGCGTGCCCTCGTGTCTTGCGCGTGTGCTAGCAGCGCAATATTGTTTTACGGTTAGTGCTCGCAATCAAACACCTGGTGACCCTCCCCGTAGGTACTCTAACCCCGTGGACCATCGTTGACGAAGATTATCATCACCAGTGACAAGTGCAAGCCCTTGGACAACTCCTACTGCTCGTAAGTGATGATCAACGTGGCCCTACATTGTATGGACATGCATAATATATACAATAGTTGTGGTACGGCCTCGTGTTTCTCGACTTCCTGATCATGTACGCTGGATGCTGCGTGTTTTTTCCCACGAGCTCGGAGCAAACGCATGAGCCATAAAGTTACAGAATAGCAACAACAATATAACCATTATATTTGCCATCGTAATATTCATCATTAATAAAATATTATTATTTGGGCAAAGTTTTGAATACTTGATGTACATAATCAGCAGGAGCTGTAGAAAAGAATAAAATCTCCGAGGTCAGTGCACCCGAAAGCATTAAAGAAGGGGAATTCGTGAGAATTTTGATGATGCTTCGCGGTGGCTTTAGGTTTGCAATGCTTTTGGAGCACACAAGGAGAAACATCAGCAGCGAAATAACGCAGTGCCGCGCCGCATCGTGATATTAGTTAAGTGTTTGTGCGCGTGTATATGTGATAAACATGGGCATCAGCTAGGCATTTGCTGTCACCCCCCCCCCCCCTTGCAGTTTACGTGTACGTTGAGTATATCCTGAGCTGCCAGTGTTGATAAAATAATATAATAAACATTTACATGTACACCGGTCCCCAAAAAAAGTCGTCTCGGGTCGACCATATCAACATTGCCACGGGGGCGCCTCTCCGTTTTAGGGCGCGGCGACAGAGGCAGGGTGCCCACGCGACAACATTACAACCCTCCCGTAGCATAGCTCGTTCTCCGTGTGTACGTGCACCACACAGATTGTACCTTGGACAAATACAAGAGGAGGAAAAAGGAGCAGTGCACCCGCGCCAAAAACGTTTGTCTGTCTGGCGTGCGCGCAAGCAGCAGTGCCGCCCTGTTCCCCTCTCCCCTAATCTGTACGTCACGTATACATAAACAGCAGCTCGTCTGTCGTCGTCGTCGACGTCGTTGTCGTTGATATATACCTACGCACGCGGCGCACAGCTACCCACCCACTCGTCTATCTACTTGCCTACGCATTTACTTGCCTACTTATACTTCCTTGACCTTGTTCGAGGATATTACTTTGTAGTACCTCTTCCAGTCGCTAGACGTCGCCACCGTTCAGAGAAAAAATTATTTTTTTTTTTTTTTTTTTTTTTTTTTTTTTTTTTTTTTTTTTTTTTTTTTTTTTTTNTGTTCTCTCCGTTAGCTAAGTCCTCCATCACGGAGTCTTCATTCTTTTCTTGGCGCTTGGCAGCGTCACACGTTCAGTATGACAAACCAGAAAGCTATCGCGGAAAGAAAACGCCAGCTAGAGGAAGAGCTCGCCCTAATCCAAGATTTGGCCTACGGCGACCCAGATCCCGAAGAACAGCTTACATATGAAGGTATGTATTTGCACTAACCTTTTACCCTTTCATTTACAGAGAACGCAGCGCACGGCCCGGCACGGCAAACACGTGCTGCATCGCGATGTTCTATTTGATTTACGTCCACGCCTGCATACAATACTCGATTCCCACGCATTAGCTCGGTGCTGTAAGACCGCATTCAATTGGACAACGCGGCTTGATTCCCAGCAATGATGTGGGAACAATGAGCATATTAAATAAATAAAAGCTAACCCATAAGCTTAACAGCGCATTCACTATAGTCCACTTTCGATCGATTCACAGATGTCCGCAATCTTGAAAGGAACAATGGCGAAGGAACTGTGACACCCCCAAATGAGGAAGGTGCGGGAGATAAGGAACCAGACAATGAAGACGATGAGTTGAGTGACAACGATGTGAACATATATCTCGGAGAAGATGCCGATGGTAGCGAGGCCTTAAAGCTACAACTTGACAAGCAAGTAACTAAAAGAATATCGAAATGGTCGAAATCTGGACTTCCAAAGGACGAGAAGGAGTCATTATCTTTAGTCCCCTTAAAAGGCTGCGTTGACCTTGAACCACCCGCACTCAACGAGGAATTAATGGCGCTCACGCAACAACGAGTATTGGCCAGGGACACAATTTACAAGGGCCATCAAAAACTAGCAGCCATTGCTGTGGCATCAGCCGCTATCTCTTTTTGTTCGGTGCTTGACGGGTTGGAGGACTCGCCGGGTAGGGAGTCCCTCCTAACCTCTTTAGCAAATACCATCAAAGCCTCGTGCGAACTGTTTTACCAATTGAACACGTCAAGGAAAGCAACCATTCTAGTAGGAAGATTTGAAGAAAGGATACAAAAGATGTTAAAGGAATCCGTGTCAACTACTCTGCTGTTCGGCGATGACCTTAAAGCTCGTATAGAGGGAGCAAAGGCCATCGAAAAGGCGGCCAAAGACATGCGTGCAAAGGAAACTCTCCCCCTTAGAGCAAAAGAAAATTTTTTAAACAAGTACAGCTCCACCAACAGACGAGAGGTGGGAAGGCGGAGCTACAAGGGCCCACTACGGACATCAAGCACCTCTCGCTCATACAGAGGGAACTCCTCAAGGTCCCGCCCGACGAAGCCTTTCTACGCACAATCCCAGCCGCAGAGGAACAGGACCGACAGACAATAGATCAGGTGAGAAATGCCGGTAGGCATTCCTATTTCATAGACAACTGGAAAAGCATCACAACGGATACCTTCGTGCTTAGGGCTACTCAGGGTTACAAGATTGACCTTCTTCAAGAACCTTTCCAACCTCACCCCCCCTCACCGATTCTACCCGAGGTAGAATCAACTCGCATGAGAAACTCGATCAATAAATTACAGAGTTCGGGGGCTGTCGTGGCTGTCGATGAGCTTGAGGATCAGTTCCTTTCATCCTTTTTCTTAGTACCGAAGCAGGATGGCTCTGACAGATTTGTCCTAAATTTAAAGCCATTTAACCTATTTGTGAGGAAATTCCATTTTAAAATGGAGGACACTCGCACTGCATTAAATTTACTCATTCCTCATGACTACGTGTGTCGTATCGACTTAAAAGATGCCTTTTTCCTTGTCCCCATTCACAAGGATCACAGAAAATACTTGAGGTTTAGTTACCATGGGCAATTATATCAATTCCAAGCCCTCCCTTTCGGATTGGCCACGGCCCCGTGGGTCTTCACAAAGATTGTAAAGCCTGTGCTAGCTACCATTAGACATCAGGGCATTAGAGTCGTGGCCTACTTGGACGATTTTTTGGTTTTCGGAAGATCCGAAGTAGGATGCAGAAAGAGCTGCGAGAAGCTTATTTCTTTACTCTTACACCTAGGCTTCGTCGTTAATTGGAAGAAGAGCGAATTAACACCAACACAGTCAATCAAATTTCTAGGATTTATTATCGATTCTGTCAATTTCCAAATCTCATTACCCCCTGACAAGAGACACAGACTACATACCTTTCTTCGTTCTCTATCTACGTCAGACAAAATATGTATGAAGGATCTGATGAAGCTCATCGGCACCATCGTAGCCGCCTGTCCAGCAGTAGCATATGGATGGCTTTTCTACAAGACTCTAGAGAGGCTGAAGCAGAAGGCCCTAGCAAGATTTGGCTTCAATAAGCGTCTACTAATAACCTTATCTCCTCCGGCCAAAGAGGAACTACTTTGGTGGCAACAACAGGTCCTTGTGTCTAACAATAAGATTAGAAGTTTCCACTTTGATGTTACCATATTTACGGACGCATCAAATACAGGTTGGGGAGCAGTTTGCGGCAGCGAGAGCGCACATGGGTCTTGGTCCTCATCCGAAAGGAAGAAGCACATTAATTGGCTGGAGATCAAAGCCATTTTCCTTGCATTAAAATGCTTCGCCAACGAGGTACATGGTAAACAGATCCTATTAAGAGTGGATAACACAACAGCTCTGGCTTACATTAATAAGATGGGTGGTGCGAGACACGAGGATCTACACCTACTAGCCAAGGAAATATGGCTCTGGTGCATTTCCAGAAAATGTTGGATCTTCGCCGAGTATATTGCCTCAAAACAAAACCCAGCAGATGAGGGTTCCAGGCTAAATAATCTAGACACGGAATGGCAGCTTGCTGACTTTGCATTTGAAGAAATCTGTCAGACTTTCGGGACACCAGACATCGACCTTTTTGCCTCACGGATAAATGCAAAATGTCCAAAATTTTGCTCTTGGGAAAGGGATCCAGAAGCTTGGGCAATTAATGCCTTCACAATCCCTTGGTCACCCATTTATTGGTACTCTTTCCCACCCTTTGCAATTATACACAAGGTCTTGAAGAAGGTCAGAGAAGAAAGATCCTAAGGTATCTTAGTAGTCCCTCTTTGGCCTGCACAGCCATGGTTCCCCGAATACAAACGACTCTTAGTAAGCGAGGTAATCACATGGAGCCCTTCGGCTAACCTTTTACATTCACCTTGCAGGAAGCAGCAGCACCCGCTATCGTCCTCTCTTACCCTGGTGGCAGGAGTTGTTTACGGCAGGCATATGTACGAAGAAACTTAGACGCCGATACCATTGAATTGCTCATATCATCGCTTGCTGATAATACCTGGAGACAATATGATTCCGCCCTCAGGCTATGGTGGACATACTGTCAGTCACAGCAGAACGACCCCTTCGACACAGACGTCCAAGTGGTATTAAGATTCTTATCCAATAGATACAAGGAAGGCGCTGCTTATGGCACCTTATCATCCATCAAGGCCGCAGTTACTCTCATAAACCCTAGGGGTTGCCAAGACACTCACCTCATCTCACGTTTTTTCAAGGGCGTCTACAGACAGAGACCAACAGCACCAAAATATGCTACTACATGGGATGTAGGTATTGTGTTAAAGAAGCTTGAGGAGTGGTCCCCCACTGAAGACCTAGAACTACGTCTCCTTACCTGGAAGACGGTAATGCTGTTAGCATTAGGGTCGGCATTCAGAGTACAAGCATTAACACTCATAAAGATCGAGAACATAAAGTTCTCAAACAATAACAAGGTTGAAATAAGAATCCCGGACCTCATCAAGACCTCCAGACCTGGCGCAAATCAGCCCATGGCCTCCTTTGACGTCTTCCAAAACAGTAACCTTTGTGTCTATCGCACTATCCGGCTTTATCTTCAGAAGACGGCACCTATCAGGGAGTCTGCTAGCCAATTATTTATATCCTACCAAACCCCGCATAAGGCTGTATCGAAAGACACAGTTAGCCGATGGCTCAAAGCGGTGCTTAGAGAAGCTGGTATACAGGAGGTTTTCACTGCACATTCCACCCGTCACGCTTCGACTACCAGGGCTCATCAGCAAGGACTTAATATCAATGTAATAAAGCAAGCAGCAGGATGGTCAGAAAGCTCTAAGACATTTTTTAGATTTTATAATAGACCAATCGAGAAGTCTATCGGTAATTTTTCTAAGACGGTTTTAGATACCTAAGCAGCTCAGTCGTTTATATGATCATCTTCCTATGATCTCAAACTATTATTAAGCAATTAATTCATAAGATACTAAGTAAATTTAATGCTCATTATGCTAAGACTTAGGATTACAACAAGATTGTCCGTAGACTATCGTATTTCCGATAGTTCTGCGAAGGCTGTGTTTCAATCAATCATAGTCAAAAATAAGGCTGAATATTACATAAGAAACCAGTGGTGATTCAAATATATATAATTTGTAACAAACAAGGTATTTATTGCTCTAAACATCTACAAAGTAATATCCTCGAACAAGGTCAAGGAAGTATAATTGATGATTAAACGAACTTCTAGCGAAGTTCAATCATAATTATACGAGTACCTTGTTCGAGGATATTACGGTCCCACCCTATACAATAATCATTAAGCTACCCTTTAATCCTTATCTGTCCCGACCCGCATCACTCTAAACTAATGAAGACTCCGTGATGGAGGACTTAGCTAACGGAGAGAACAAAAAAAAAAAAAAAAAAAAAAAAAAAAATAATTTTTTCTCTGAACGGTGGCGACGTCTAGCGACTGGAAGAGGTACTACAAAGTAATATCCTCGAACAAGGTACTCGTATAATTATGATTGAACTTCGCTAGAAGTTCGTTTAATCATCAAGTATTACCTACGTAAGTACGTTTCTACACAGCGGAGGGGACGAGAAAACACCACCACGAGAGATATAGCCCTCCCAATGTTATCGCGCGCGTGTCTTACACACCTGTGTGTATATATAAATTCACCCCGTACTACGCAGCAGCTGCAGTAGTACGTACGAACGTTGCGTATATACGTATATACGCGTACAGTGCAGTGCACGGTGCAGTCTGCTCCGATAAAAAAAAAAAAAGCAGCCCTTGAGTGAAGACGGCAACACGTGCTCTCTTCGCTAGTTATTACTACCTGTCTGTTTTCTCTTCTTTGCGCGAGACTTGCAGCAAGCGTGTGCTACTTAATTATGTTCACCTACGATAAAGTGTCTACTACGTGCAGTACTTGAGAGAGGGGGAGAGAAAATAATTTTCGCGTTTGTGAAATAAAGAGAAAAAAAAAAAATTAAGAAGGTAAGACTTGATCCGTCTATTATTCGGAGATCATGGCATACCTGCGCTCGGTGTTCCGCAGCACGAGCATCGGGGGCTCGGGGAGCAGCTCAAGCAACAGCGCTACAAATAGTGGTAGCGCCGGCGCCAATAGTACCAGCAATACCAGCAACAACAACAATAACAACAACAACAACAATAACGAGGACGAAGACGAGGAGATGTCGTCGTCGGGTGCTCCGGTCCGTTCGCCGGGCGTCGTCGTGCTCTCGGGATTTCTCAAGAAGCAAAAGTCCATGAAGAAAAAGTTCTTTGCCCTAAAGGCCGAGGCACCGGGTTTTCAAGTTTGCTTGGAGTATTACGACAGCAAGAAAAAATTCGAGAGCAATCAGCCGCCCAAGCGCTCGATCAACGTTAGCAAGTGCCACAGTATCGAGAGGCGCCACGACAACAAGCATAAGCACGTGCTCTGTTTGCTGTACGCGAAAAATGAGCGCTTCAACATACTCATGGAGAGCGAAAAAGAGCTCAATCGGTGGTACGACGCGATACAACTGCTACAGACCGGCACGACTTTCGGTGAGTTGCGATGGCCGATTTTTTTTTTCTTTTGTATCATACTATTTTATCCCGCCCCACTTTTTAATGGTAAATGTTGTTTTTCTTTGACAGAGCACACCTGGCTAGTAAACATTCACAAGAGAGGCCTGGGCACGCGGCACAACCTCAACGGGCCTCATAGGCTTCACCTTACCGATCGGATGTTGACGCTCGTCAAAAGCGAGGATGAATCGCGGCTCGAGCCGATCGATATAGCCGTGAGTTAAAAGTTTCGCTACAATGAGCTCTAATGATGAGGTTTCGATTCTACGGCCATTGATGCTGCTCTTTTTAGCTCACCATGGTAAGGAGGGCCGGTTGCGTCGACCAGTTCTTTTACATCGAAGTGGGTCGCTCGTCGTCCGTTGGTGACGGTGAGATCTGGATGGAGGTGGAGGACAGCAACATCGCCCAGAACGTCTACTACACCATCAACAACGCCATGATCCATTTAGCACCGCTCAAAGTCAAGTCGGAAGATGATGGGCCAAAACCGAGGCTGCGCAGCTCGTCGGCTAACGAAGCCAGCAAGCCGATCTCCGTACTCCAGAGAAGATACACGACTCAGAAGCTGCATGGCGTCTCGCCTCTAGGTATGATTTTTCAGTTTATTTATTGCGATCGACCAGTCAGCCGATCGTGCTCTTTTCCATATATATATAAATTATTTACCCATGTCAACTAAGTACACATTCATGTTACCTCACTGTTGGCAACAATACTTGTTTTTCAACAACGTTGTGTCCGCTTTGCGAGCGTGACTCATTTGTACCGGTGCTTTCACTCGTAAGATTTTTTTTTTTCTCTTCAATCGATGTTTTTCATACCGTGATAAATATTGCTGACTCACGTTCAATTACAAAAATAACGTGCAACGAATCGTCTAAGTGTTTCGCCTAATGATTTGTAAAATAATAATAGAATGTTTTACACTGTGTGGTTAGTTGCTTAAATGTTTTTCCTTAAAAATTATAACAATAATTTACGTTACACTGTGTCAGTCGAAGTTTTGTCCTTATCTCATTGGTAACTAATTTTTATCTAGCTATGCACACAATAATTAAATTAGTTTTCGTATCACAAATGCTCAAACTGTAAGAACTATATTGTATAGTAAGAAAAAAAAGTAATAAGTTTAATCTACACCTGCCTCAAAGTAGCCCAAATAACAGGTTTAAATAAATCTAGTAAAATTAAGCTTACTAAATGTAACACACGCGGGTTGCGGGAATTTACAGAGGAACAGAGGATTCACGAGGAGCAATTGGACCCATTAAAGGATAAAAGTGTAACTGCATCTGCTCCATTGCAGAGTACACAATTGCAGACTACCTCTACTTCTAATACACAAATGGGTCTGTTCTGTCACAGTAGTTGTATGCCTTTTTCTAAATTTTACTCGTGCAACTTTATATTTTAAATTTTACTTATAGGAGAATTCAATTTCATGTTAAAATTTAATATCAAGGCACTATATCATGTCCACATAGAGAGAATCCGCGTTTGTACTATCAAATATTTCGATAGTTTTATCTCTGTGTGGAATTTTTGATATAATTGGTATTTGATATATTGGTAATTGGAATGTTTGTTATCAAATCGGATAAAATTTTTAATTTCTTTCGTTTCGTTCGAACAAAAACAAGTTTCCAAGTTATCATTTTAATGCCTGTGGCTACTATATGTTGAAATATTGTTGAGTGCTTCTACTATTTATTATATTTTGGTATTAAATATCTTTTGCAATGTCATTCACATTCAGCTCAGTTGTGGATTTTTTATTTATTTATTTTTTTCTTGTACCAAATTATAATTTTTTTCAATAGAACTTTTAGTAAATTTGTTAAAAACAAGTCCCACGCTTGAAATTTAAAATACAATCTTTTGTTTTAACATGAGTTGAAAATAGAAAGAAAAAGCTGATTACATAGTTTCTAGTAGTTATTATTAAGAAAATTGAATGCAACACTGCTTTGGAATGCTATAGGTATTAATGACTATATCAGGGTGATTAATGAATAAGATACAAGCTGAGGCTGTTTTTTTGATGAAAATGCCTGGGAGGCAGAGATATGTGTTTATTTGTTACTTGAGAGGCTGACAATATCACGAAATAACATGGTTTTGGAAAGCTGTGAATTATCATCATTATCATCGTCATCATCATTATTAATACTCTTTTTTTTAATTAAATCTAAAAAAGCATGCGCCCACACAGCACAACTAAACAACATGAACACACAAATGAAAAAAAAATAAAGGGTGGAAATGTTGTCAAAAGAGCTGCTGATGATGACCAGAAGCTGTGGTTGGTATAATTTGCAGCTAGCAGCAGCAGTAACAGCAGTGGCGGTGGTCCAGTCGCGGCAACATCGACGGCGACGACGACCCTAGCATCGAGCCTGAACCACCGTCGGCACTCAGTCGCTAGTCACTCGTCTACCCCCTCCCCCACGGTTAATAACAGTCATGTATCCCAACAACAATCCGCGACCGCATCGTCGTCGAGCACGACAGGCACAACCGCGACCCCACCAGCTGTCTCACACCAAAGAACTCTGTCACTGCCTCTAGCCACTTGCGCTATCAATCAAACGCAATCATCATCATCATCATCCAAAAGATCTATGTTGCGCTGTATGTATCTATACATCCCTCGTGGGCATAATATGGCTCTTTATCACCTTTCATCTTATACGTGATTTCTCGCATCCTATGTTAATATTCTAATCTCTTTCTCCCTGAAAACTAACAATGCTGTACGCGCAAAACATGTACACTTGTTCAATTATTTTATTTTTTTTTTTTTTTTTTTTTTTTATATACTCTGGTCATCGGTGGATTTGGCTTCTTGCATCCTTTGTGAATGCTGTCAGATGTCTGAAGAATATATATAACTTGTTCTTGCTGTGTGTAAGAGCATTGACTTAACTCTTTCTTCAAAATGGTTTTCCTCTTCATTCTACAAATATAATCGCCAGTGCTAAACCTTTTCCGTTTTTGCCTGCGCATGCTGCTTTTAAACTCCCGTCCTTTTTTTTTCCCTCTGCGTCAGTGATGCATAATTATGTACATGGTTGTTTTTACATTTTTCAATGAAAAACTCAGGGACTTTCTATCAACGCGTTTAATCTCATAGTTTTTGTTGACAAGATCATGCGTACGTTGCATCATAAAATTTTTGGCCTTACACTCGTGTTGGCGAATTTTCATTATTCATGGAACATTAAATTTTTCTCACTCCTCAACGTTTAATCATATTTATTACATGCCCATAATACAAATGTAAATTTTCAACTACTTCTGCTTTAAAAATGTCACATCCTTAAATCACAAAGTATATGTTTCAATTTTCAAAATACATTATTGCTTATCAAAAACTATATTTTATGATCAATTACACTGTGTACATATATTAACATGATATGACTTGATACCAGCTTTGTATACGTGGTGGACATCTGCATCCAAAACTGAATCGTCAAGCGCTGTAAATAAGCTGAAAGCCTGACTTGAATCTGTACTAACATAGTTTTAATAATTATGATGATAATAATAATAATAGTAATAATAATAATAATAATAATAATAATAATAATAGTAACAATACACGAGCACTTAACCAATGCATACAACTACTAACAAAAAAATCAAATTAATACCGCTGTATAGTTATCCTTGTGTTATACATTAATGTAAATGTTGAAAGTTTATTATGCACACTATGATTTGTGCTGTATTGAGTGTAACGATTGCTGGGAAACAATGGTAATGGCTTTAAAAGTAATGGCTAAAAAACGTAATCCACTTGATAATCTGCTGCACGGTGGCTGTTGCTCCGCTGCTACTCTTTATTGTACTATTGCGTATTTACACTATGATCACGTGATCTATGATAAATACTTCTTTCGGCGTAATGAGTATCCTTGAGCATATAAATTGACCGTCTCTTGTCTTGGATTTTTAGGCGTATCGTCGACGGGCCGAGACCGGTGCGACAGTCTGCCCTCGCGGGCGCGCACCACGAGCGAGAGCTACCCGAGCAACAGTGTCAGCCTCATCACGAGTACAGCCGGGGATGGACAACACCAGCAGTACACCAGCAGCAGCAGACTGGCCCACCACCTGCGACCGCACTCGATGCATCATCACCACCAGCAGCAGCAGTCGCAGCTCCGGGGCCCGACCGGCATGTCGTATTCGCCACCCGTCAGCTCGATGCCCATCAGTCCGGCCTCCGGAGCGTGTTCCACCGATTCAGCGGGCTCGTCCTTTTCGATGGACGACGGCTCGGAGAATACGGAGGAGGGTGCGCTCTCCAAGTACGGGCACTCGCTCACGCCCGACGAGCCAGTCATACTCGAGGAGAACGGTGACGAATACGTGCCTTGGTCGGCTAGTGGACACCAAAAGTTCTCGCCCAACTTCAAGTCCTGTTCACCGTCGCAGGTAGGTGTGGCTTGTTGGCTTGTATCAAAGTTGGCATGGGTGCAAATGTTTGTTTCGGTGCTAGTCGTTTTCTATGACGAATTAGTACTTGATACGGAAACAATTTTTTTTTCAAACGTGTCATTTGACAATTATCTCATGGTATTAGTAAATGCATACATTTGTCTTCTAAAATTTTATGAGCAACAATTTTTTTCCCAATGTTAGTCGTACGGGGGAACATTATTAATGTAATGAACAATGCATTTGATCATTAATGGGATGTTGATAATTTGAACCAGCTCGCGATAGTCATAAATATTCATATAAAAACACAAATCAACTAATCGCATCGATCCCAAAGTATAAACTTCTCAAATTATGATTCATTCGATACATTATTCCCTGCTTTTGTGTAGCAGAGTTCCTACGTAGATATGTACAGTCCATGCGGTTCGAGTCCAGGCCGAAGCGGCTACATGCCGATGAGTCCAGCCACGACTGGTATGCACTCACGTACCTCATCGCTGGTTGAAGAAGGCACAACGCTGCCCGATGGGTACGTTCCTATGGCGCCACTTGGTGACGACGGCTACGTCGACATGGATCCCGTTAGCAACGCCAGTCACAATGGACATTTTGTCGACGATATGTCACAGCACGGTGGTAGCAGCTGTTCCGTCACGTCGGGCACCCCGAGTACGGACATGAGATTCATAGATTTTCATCTGGATAGGGTCAGCAGTTTTCTGACGTCTGCTGACGAGCAGCAAGCGAGGCCAACGAGGGCTTATTCTGTGGGATCCAGACCTGAACAAAGCTGCCAAGTACCGGAAAAATAAGTAAGAGCGTTGTTGTTGTTATTATTATTAATTGTGTACTCTCGGTGTTTTATTTTTTTTCATTTTTTTTTTTTTTTTTTTTTTTTCCCCGTAACAAAAGCTATCGAGTACGAGTTGAATTGATTTTTTCGGACTTATAATTCAATAATAAGAATCTGTACACGTGTGTATACTTATCTCACTTATGTAAGCTCACTTTTATGAATATATAAACTTGATTATCTTGTGCATAAGGTTTCACAATGCTGACATCAATTTCGAAATAATTTATTCAATGTTAGGTATTTTTTTTAAATTAAAAGACTTTAAATATACATAATTAGAGGAAATAAAGCACACGTTTTGTTTCAATGATTTTTATCGCACCACTGCAATTCGTACACGAATTTTACACGTCTCAAAAATTTCTTTTCGTTCTATTCCAGATTGGAAATCCAACAAGAGATGAGCCGAGTACGTGCCTTCTCGGTCGGCAGTCGCTCAAAGAAGCCAGAAATCATGAATAGGCTTGCAAATGTTGTAATAGCGCCACTTGTCCCAGGCAGTAAAGTTCAGTCGAGTAAATCGAACTCGGCACCTATGCTGTCGGGCTCGTGGAGTCACAATTCGGTCGTAGCCACTTCTACAGCTTCGAAAAATGATCACATGGAAGATCTCATGGAGTTAGACTTTAGCAAACCAAGTCCACCAGTCAACTTTGTGGCCCCACCTCCACCACCACCTACTTCGTATTCGCAAACAAAGTCGGTGTATTCAACAGCTGCTACCACAAACGACACCAGTTCCTACGTCGATATGTCGCCTGGACAGCTGCCGATTTCAACCACTGCCCCTTATGTTGACATGAATGGACCAAACAAGGTACGCTTTTAAACATTCATTATTTATTTTCAGTTCTAATTTAGACATTTCATTTATGTTTTCGGGAATTTAAAATTAAACAAAAAAATACAGAGCAACCAGTTGTACACATTACAAGTATCGAGTAAATTAAATTTTTTTACAGATTAATCGAAACAACTTCAACAACAACAGTATCAGCAACATTAATAACAACAACACTACCACTGCCAACAACAACCACGGTCATTCGCTGATATTGTCCCACCCCAAGCCCGTTATAACACAGATCACATCAGCACTCAAGCCCGTAGAGGAGCAGGAATCGCCTTATCTGCCGATGGACCGTGGAAGTTTGGAAGATTGGTCAAACACAGGCATTAGCCCAAAACAGATGCCGTCGCCATGTCAAGAAGACTACATGCAAATGAACGGTCCGCCAGGCAGTGTGAGAACCGCACCGATGGATCTACCACAGCCACGGCAGCCACCCGAGGGTTACGTCGAGATGTCGTTCAAACCTAAACAATCGGCCTCGATACTTGAGCAGGACTACACGAATATGAGCTTGGGCAGCAGCAATATAAATCAGCGCAGAGACAGCGGTGGTAGCAATCGAACGAAGCCTCATTTGAATAACAATCGCAAGAAAAAGTCCTCGTTGCCGATCACCATTCAAACGAGTACCAAGTCTTACAAAACGCCCAACTACCTACCCTTGAGCGACAGCCCGACCTCGGAAAGTCAGACAAGCACGCCAGCCTCGCCTCCTCGCGCCACCCCAACCGGATCTACCGCCACGATATTCCCATTTTCACTCAACAGTCCCCAGTCACCCATCAAATCCTTTACCGTCCCAACAACTGCTTCTTTGGTCAAGCAACCCCTCTCAGTCATCACGAGTGATCCACCCAAGTCTTCCTGTAGCAGAGCGACAGCTGCTTCTTCCGCGAAAGTTGACGTCGACACCCCAGTACTTATCATGACTTCGAGAAAAATCTCGGCGCAGAGTCCGGTTCCTGGCGTCGACGGATGCCCTTCCTTCAAAAAAGCCCACGACGCCCCTCCTGACAACCCAACCGCGACGACCGCTCCACCTCTTTTAACAGAAAAGTAAGTCTTGATGTGTGTATGTATCCATTTCATGTGAGTTGTAAATAACGATACCGTAAACACCAAATATTACAAACGTACTTATCTAATAACTTTTCTTTAATTTTCAGACGTGTTGTAACAACCGAAAAGCTTGGCAAGCCCGCACCTATTAACATCAACCCGAGCACCATTTCTAAAGAGCCTTTGCGTCACAAAACAATTTCTGTCACTATGGTCCAGGATCCGGCGCACCCCATAAGTCCAATCACTAAAAAATTGTCAGACCTAACTGTGTCCAAGTCACCGCGTCTCATGACCGCATCGCCAACGACGAGTATGCCGACCAGTCCTACGCCGACGGCTTTCAAGCCGGTACAGCCCCAGCAGCCATCAACCTCGAAGCCAGCCTCGCCGAAGGTAATCGAGGATACGACGCCCACCCCGACTCTAACACCCACTTCAACGCCAACACCTACACCTACACCAACTAGTCCGGTGGACAGTAGTGAAGGCTATGAAAAGCTGCAGCCTGGCGCTACGACAGGTGCAGTGGCTAACCTGCTGGACAGTAAAGAGTACGAGAAGCTTCAGCCTGGCGCAGTTACTGCGGCACCCTCGCTAGTGGTTCCGACGACACCGAATAACAACTCTATCGATAGCGGGGGTTACGAAAAACTCCAACCCGGTGCCACCCTCCTGCATTACGCTAGTCTTGAACTGCCTGAAGCCACGGGCATACCGCCGGTCTCGCCTACGCCGATCCAGGAAGGCTTTAACTACGTGGAAATCGACTTTGCCAAGAGTAAGCAGAATTAATAATTATACTATTTAAACACACGTGCACCTGGCGTACCGGTACATACATATACAAGCGGGTCTGTTTATGTAAGTGAATAGTCGCGCAGCATTATTATTGGTATACAATTTACAAAAGCTCATTTGTAACAAGAGATACCGCTGAATTTTCGTCGTGTTGGTGTGTTCGACGCCGCTCTGATCTTGTTTCGCCGATCAGAGCTGTTAACAGTCGCGCCCTGTAAATATAACGAATTCTTGTATGTATCTTATAAAAAAGAAAAAGAAAAAAAAGGAAATAAGACTCGAATAGTTCATGTACCCTTACAAAAATCGTTTAGCCATGAGAGCATATTAATATATCAATAAATAAAATATACATATGCAGATATATTATTATTATTAACTATTGATAAACGCGTAGTGGTGATGTCGGCAATTGATTTTATTGTTTTACATAAATTGTTGTTATTTTTATGATCTTCCGGAAGTTGTGTAACTGTTTTTGCTTGGTGTATTCGTTATAAGTGAATGCGTTGAAGATTATTTATTTTATCAGAAACTGCATATATTATATGAATAAAGTAAAACAGAAATGTAACTGCCAGCCTCGTCATGTTTATTTAATGAAATAAAAATTTCTCTTCTGTACATATGTATTCATAGAAATATTAATATTGACAAATAATAAACGAAGTAGTAAGCATCGATGTCTTTGTTTTTCAAATTTTTATTATTTACCTTTCCTGTATCACTGTTCTATATGAAGCTCGTGAAAAAATAACTGCAAACAGTTAAAACATTTGTTGTTATATATTCATTGCCCGCATTTTTACAGGTCGTAAGGTCGTAACTTTTTATTTTATATTTAGCACATGAGTGCGAGAACGAACAAGTGAACGACGAAGGATATAAGTTGTGATATATAAACAGATATACCTAGCCTCTACCGTTCGCTCGCTCGAACTCAAGAGCTTTTGGTTTGAGCGCAGTCGGGTGTCGGGTCTTTCGTTGTAAACATAATGGACATTATTACATTGTTAGATACATCGTCAGTTATACTTAATTAGTTAATCACAATGGGTGTATGAATTTATTGGCGCTCGCCCTCGCTCTTGATGTATATGTATTTCAATCAACGCCATCTAGCGTGCGATTTTTCTCGTCGCTCATAGACCATACTGACGTTTTTTTTTGCTTCGGGCGTGATCGGGCTTCGTCGGTGGCCCTCGCTCTGACGCTCATCTTGTGTGCATTTTAATCAGCGCCATCTAGCGTGCGATTTTTCTCGTCGCTCATAGACCCTACTGACGTTTTTTTGTTTTGGGTGATGAAGAAAAGCACGACTCAGAGTTTGCTCTTTAAAATGACATAGAGAAATCTGAGTTGAGCTTTTCTTCGTCCGCTGATAAATATTGGCTATATTCGACGGCCCGCACATCCTACGGGCGTGATCGGGCTTCATCAGTGGCCTTTGTTCTTTGTATATCAAGGAAAATTGTTTGACTTTTTCGGCTCTGATTAATTATATCTAGTGACTGTAGTTCATAAAAGCTTATGGTATATTTGTATATCTTTGGTGATGTTCTTTTCATAAATTTTGTAGAAAAAGTATTGGAAAAAAAGTCAAGTAGAACACATTAAAATCAGAATTTGAGTAACAAAATAATTTCGCGTACTAACTATACACAAAGGGATTCAGAGTGTATATTACAGAATATTCTACAATTTAAAATAATAAGTCTGAGCTACTTTTCAAGATAATTGTATTTTTGTAACTTGAAAGAAAAAATAATTGTTATGGTTGTTAACTCATTCGCGTTCAGAAATTTAGCTGTTCATATAATCCACAATGTTATATGTACTATAAAGTCTATATATGTATATACACATTAAAAATATACAATCTGAACAAACAATAAAACTTAATTGTATGTTATAAAATCGCTTAAAAATAATTAATTTTATCGTCAAGATTCAATTGTTTTCTCATAGATTATCATTGGAAAACTTTCTTTGAAAATCGTTTCAAAAACTAATCACATGTATAACGCATATTTATCTTATTGTACGTAAATTTAGATGCATTAATACTTAAAAAAATTTACAATTTTGAATAAATTTATTGTTTCTGACGTTATAAGTTAAATTCATCTGAAAAAAAAGTAATTTTGCAAGATTAAATAAAAGTAAATTTGCAAAATTATTCAAATGTTAATCTATGAAAACAATGTCTTGACGCATTTTAACAAATATTGCCATGATAATTCATTAACAAATATCTGGCTTAATATTAAGTATATAAATGACAGAGTAAGCTTACACAAATAGAAGCGATGTGTTTAAATGCATATCCCAGTATCACGGAAGTTGATCAATGAAGAGAACAGCCAAGGGAAGATCAAAATTTAATTAAAAATATTTAGTAAATTCAAAATATGATTTCATAAACAAGTTGTAATAAGCAAACGTAAAATCACGATCACAGTGTATTTGTTTTTAAAAAGTTCTTTTTGTACACTTATTAAGTCTCTCTCTCTTGAAGTATTATTATTACTTGAATTCTCACTAATTTTACAAGATGATATCAAAATATCGATGGAAAAGGTATTTATTTTACATGTTTTGAATAAACTTTATTTGTCTACCGAGTGATATCTGATACGAATTTTAATTTCATTTGTTTCATACTTGTCAAGAATCTCCCAAATTGTTTAGTTTGTTTTCCTTACGAAGTTAATAAGCTGAATATTTTAACTTCGCGTCATCTTTAAACAATTTGTTCCACATTGCAAACATGTAAGATTTCAAATGCTTCTCAGTTGCACCAGGGTGTTCTTTAGACAATTTATCATATTCTCTTTCGCAAAAAACTTTAAATGTTGGCGTTGGTATTTTGTTGACCATTTTTTTTAATTGCTTTTGTTTTTTACTGTTCTCTCTGCGATATTCCATAGAATTTACTGGTGATGATGGCGGGGTATCCAAATTTAAATTTTTCACAATTTCACTGTCATTAGCACTTGATTCCCTTTTTGCTATACTTTTACGGGCCTATAAACAGTAAGTTAAGGTGTTACATAAGTATTTTATTGAAAAACCATATAACTATTTACCTTCTTTACTTGTTTACCATCGTCATCGCCTTTTGATTTCCTCTTCCTTTTCGGTTCCGGCTCATCTGAAGAAATCGGTGTTTTTTTTCCCTTTTTTTTAAAATTTTCCAACGCCGACAAATCCAAATCATACAAAACATCCATGGCTTCTGCAACTGCTTTCTGCCACGTTGGAAAAATTGTTGGTTTAATAACCATTGCAGCAGCAAACTTTGGTTCTTTTTTTCGTATATTCTCCGTTACCGATCTCGCACGCTTTCTGAAATCTTCGATTCCATTAAAAGGAATCATGTGATGAGATGGTATCCAGCTGTGACGACCATGGTCATTAAAAAAATGCACATGTATCATGAGTGTCTTAGATCTTCCTTTAGCTAAAAATTAGAATACCCATATTAATAAGTATGAAGGGTAAGCAAATTTTTACTAGACATTAAATAATAAACAATTTTAAGTTGAAAAATACCCTACACTGAATTTTTCGATAAGTTTGTAAAGGTGAAGGTTCATAGGTGACAATGCATGGCCAAAATGGATAAATGCTCATTCTTGCCCATGCAAGTTGACCTAATTCCCATGGGCAACAGCTCAACATTTCTTCAGACGTGGCAAACTCTTTGTCACTGATATACTCTGGGATGAGAAACTCTTCGCTAAAATCCAGTTCAAGCTCTTCCTTGGTATCTCCTGTTGTATCTACTTCCGTTTTATTTAGATTAGTCTTGTCGATAATGTCTTTTGTTTTTGTTCCAACACTATGCACCTGTGGACTAGTTTTTACAGTTTCTGACTGAATACTACAACTTTTTTTCGTAAAATGATCAACCTCATCTTTGCCATTTAAACATTCATTGTGTTTATTCTTGACAACATCGACAACAGCGGTACCACATACATCCATTAGAACACTTTCCTCTTTGGCAATGGCATTTGCAACCTCCGAAAGGTCAGTGTCCACATCCTAAAATAGATTAGACAAAACGTTATTCAAATACGAATACACAAGACTCGTAAGCGATATAAATACCAAGTTTAAATAAAAATAAAAAAAAAATAAGTAGTTTAGAATGCGTAACATAATCAAGCATGAATCAAGGTGTTGTATTTATATAGATATTAAACCGTGAGGAGGAGTTAGGTTATGTCAAAGCTACGACACCAAAGCCTTACCATTCTGGCGTCTTCAACGTTGATAGGCAGCGCACTGTGAACGTTCTTAGATATTTGATCACATTCCATGTCTCAATTTTGGCACTTTAATTCAGAAAAAGGATCTATACCTACCAAGAATCTCCGTAAATCTATATTCCTGTTGTTACTTCAACGCCAAGGAAATAAACACATCGCAAAGGTATACTAGCAACCAGTGCAACCACACGCCACACGGCACACTATCAAAAAAAGTATAGGTATATATCAATTGTCAACTATGTATAAGATAAGATGCGTGAGCGCAGCGACAGGCGTGAGTGAGCCGTGTGCGCCGTGGCCCGTGCCCGACGCCCGTGAGACAGACAGAGACTTTCTGGTCTTCCGGTCTTCCCGCGCTTTTGCAGCTTATATAGTTTTCTACCATACCGACAAAATTAATGATCGACTGTTGGTCCCAAATGTTCCATCAATAAATGACCGACGATGGGGTACTTATCTCAGGCACACTGTGTTTACCGTTGGCCGAATTTAATTTGTTTTCATAATTTATTGGTTTTGCTAAGTCCTATTTATGACTTAATTATATACCTACACACTATAACGAATAGTTTATATTAATCAAAATTGTAAAAAATGTGTACCATTCACATTAAAAATTAACCCACCGGGTATAGTTTAAATATACCATACGCGCAAAAACTCTCTCAAACTTCAAAGCTGATCGATTGTTTAAAAAAATATAATGTATATAAATATATACCTATCTACTACTTTACAACTATATAGATGTAATCTCTATTTCAATCAACGCCATCTAGCGTGCGATTTTTCTCGTCGCTCATAGACCATACTGACGTTTTTTTTGCTTCGGGCGTGATCGGGCTTCGTCGGTGGCCCTCGCTCTGACGCTCATCTTGTGTGCATTTTAATCAGCGCCATCTAGCGTGCGATTTTTCTCGTCGCTCATAGACCCTACTGACGTTTTTTTGNTAAAAAAATATAATGTATATAAATATATACCTATCTACTACTTTACAACTATATAGATGTAATCACATGGTAACATGATACTTTAAACTAAATTTAAATGGTAACGCGTGTATGCAAAAAAATAAAATGAAAAAAGTAAAGTGAGTTAAATATATATAATTACACGAATAACGGTTGTTAAACGAATAATGAAAACAACATAATAATAAATATGCATGGTACAAATTTATAAAGCGTTGATGGTAAATTACGCGACATATCAGATATCGACTACAATATTTCATATTAATCCATACAGTTGGACTTAAAATGATTAATTTAGCAGGCAATTAACAAAAGTAACGAGTAACAAAAGGCTGATTCTTATGCTACTTTGCCAACTCATATTATACCTATCAGTCACGCGCGTGTGTTACTTACTTATCAGAAGCTAAATTTAATTGAATGAGTGCGTGATGGACGCACAAATCAATGGACATGTGAAAATTTTTTATTACAAAGCGTTATTTAGAAATCAATGGATTTTAATAATAAATTCCTTCGAAGCAATTTTCGTCAGTCGGCTGGTTGTTAAATGCCAGTTTATATCAGTTTTAGAGTAAAACGGAATAGTAGAGAGTAAACAAATTATATCCAGTTTTTCGACTTTCATTACAATTACAAAGTTGCGGCAAGTTTGAGTGCACAAAGTAAAAAATCGTTTTTCTTTTAATAAGTTACCTTCTTACTTTTTCAGCTAAAAACAACCACTGTTAAAAGAAATGTTTACTGAACTAACATCAAAAGTTAAAACGAAAAAATTCTCATTCGTTAAAATCTTTTACTTTTACCTCCGAATATTTGGGTGCGCAACATTAACACTTAATAAAATCCAATTGAATAACAGTAGTCTTACGCGTTGGTCGTTCGATTATTCTTACGTTGGTGCGGCCTATAATTTTCTTTTACTTACATTCTTAACAATAACGCAGTTTTTTTTCCTACGAAATTATTTACGAGTATTTAATATTAGAGATTCGTTTAATACAATTTACACAAAAACATATTATGCAGTAATTTTTGTGGCAGCCGATTTTATTGTGATTCAAAACATTGTCACACAAAAAAAAGCAATAATAATTTTTACAAAACTCATGTCAGTTAAAGAATCAGTTTTACGATTGCAAAAAAATGAAGATTACAAGGAGTGGATGTTAAATCACATGAAATACGTTTTTTTGATTAATTTCAAGTATATTTTTCCCGCATTCCTGTTACTTTCTTATTTTTTTCATGTTGGTAATTTAATGAACACAACATTTCCAATAATTTTAATGATTAATGTTATCATTATTGATGCAGCAGTACTGCAATTCATATTTTTTACTATCTTAGTTAAAGTATTATTTAAAATCATTGATACTCAATTGAAAAACAATTTTGAGAAATCTATTTGCGTCGGAAATGATGATTATTTTGGTTACAACAATGTGCAAATGAAATTCCTGTCCATCTCAAAGTTAATCAGACTTCATAGATCACTAATTGAAATATCGCAAGATGTATGCAATTTTTACTCCCAATCAATATTTTTATGTATCTCTGCATACTTTTCATCCCTTCTACGACATGGTTATTACATCATGAATATTAATGATCAAGATAAACATAGAAATATTTTTATGTATGCCTCGATACTGTTTCTCATAAACATCCTCGATACTTTACTTATGATAACATTACTGATATTATCTGTTTGTTCAGCGATAAAGCAGGTACCGCAATACTGTTAATTAATTTTTATTCGATTTTTAACTTAATAAAACTTGAATAATCACGCAGGGTGAGAAGATCAAGTTCACAGTAGTCAAGTGCTTAATGCAAAATGACAGCGTAAAGTACAAAAGTATAATACATCAAGTAAGCATATGATAACAATCATTGCGTATGAATAACTAATTGAGTTGGGTAATTGACTTGAATTATTTTCAGCTTTTATTGTTTTCATATCAATGCAAAACCACGTTCATCAAATTTGAAGCTTTATCTGTCTTTCCATTAGACGAATCGTTACTGGTTTCGGTTGGTATTTTTTTTTTTTAACTTCTAAAGTAACATTGTGCAGTAAAATTTAATAAAATTTTAATACATTTCATTTTTCAGATGATAAGTGCAATCACGACGTATTTGGTAATAATGTACAAGTTCCACCACTTTAAGTGGAACACAATGTCGGATTAAAATCATTAGAAGATAATTATTAGCTACATAATTTGAAACTTGACGTTTGGAAAAAATTGATCGTTCAGAGCATACCAGCAAATTGAAATTCTATGTATTTCAGCACAATATTCTAGTAGCGTTCTATTATTATAACAAAAGTTAGTTCCTAATATTTATGTTTTGTAATATATCTATTTGAAACAATGGAATAATATTTTGATTGACGTTATTACATTTATATTTTTGTTCTCGTATAATTAATAATATAAACTAATTGGAGCTTGAAAATTACTTGTCATTTGTAATGTTAATCATTTACACCTTTAATTTTCGTTAATATCAATGTTAGTCGTGAAGTTCCTATTATACGTATGTATCGTTACGGAGAAAGGTGTAATTAAAAGGCATCTCTTTTATTTAAATGTGTATCCACCATATCATGATTTTATTCTAAAGACAATTGAAACTTGTTCCATGTTAACTAAAAGTGGCCTATTTTTTCGAATTTTTTTTTCCCCCAAAAATGTCCTTGTAGAAAATGTGCAAAGTAGAGTATAAAAATTACCGATTAAAAAGCTCTGCAAAAACTTGATGAAAATAATACCATGTTCAAGGCGTGGTCTTATGTACAGCTATAGAATGAGTGAACGATAGGTGACAAATACAAAAAGTTGGTGAAATTAGCTTATAATTGACATAAAAGCAATAAGTTATAAACGTAAGTGAAAGAATTAACGTGAAAGTCATAAAAAACAGTAGTGTATTTTCAGGCACCAATGAAAAATGACAAATAGAGATCAGAATTGTTTCCATCATCGTTGAAGGAAAACTCCGAATGAGAACAACATGTTGTGGAAATAAACAAACACATCATCAGGCAGGAATACCCGGCGCAAATAACATTGTTGTCCCTCCCAGGGGTATCGGCCTCGTCTTTGCTATACATATACTTTACTTATATATACATCGTATCCTCATGTGGGCACGTGTCGTCATCCTGTGTGGCGCGTGCCTCTTCCTCTCCCTCGTGCTGTATTACCGGTAGGTACGCGTCGATCCTCTCGAGAGAAATCATCACCGAGAAACCAACTATACGGTATATACTTTTATATGTGTACAATCAGAGCCACGCGCAGATGCGACTTTATATATATATGTATGTGTATGTATTCCCTTACACGCATCTGGTGCATCATCATCATCACCCAGCATCGCAGCTTTTTTCTCTTTTATCCCTGTTGTTCTTTTTCCTCGTCCACGGGGTTTCGGGAGGACATAAGAAAAAAAAAAAAAAAGGGCTATTCACCGCAGGAACGAACAGACAGCCGGCGAACGCCGATTGCATCTTGGGCTGCACCTGAGTATATAATGTACTCTCGTGGCGCGGTGCACCTGCCGAATTCGCTTTGTGTTTTTTGTTTTTTTTTCATCTGTCCGAGAGAGGCTCGTGCCGCGGCAGCTTTTTAACTGTGGTGTTGCAGCAGGCAGGAACAGTTGGCGTGATAAAGCGCGGGGCCCCTGGAGCGCGCACATACACGGATGATAATTATCACAATGCACCTCAGTCCAAATAAATAAATAATCAACGAAGTTTGTTCCGCTCATCCGAAAAAATACCTAGGGTACAAGTGCAATTGTTTTATTTTCACGAATTATCATATGAGTATAATATATGCGATGCATTGTTTCGCGCAATCGTGCAAATATATTATATGATAGGCTCTCTATCTTTTGAGCTTCAATAACATGTAGCATTGTTGTAGGCACATTTTATCTCAAAATTATGTGTATTTTTGCACGCGCAGATATAACGTACATACTGTTATACATTATTATCCGGCTGCATGCGTGGCACGCGAAACCCGACACAAGTCCACGCCTTGTTTTTATTACTTTGTTTGCGACACCCGTAATGTCAACAGAAAAATAGAAATTCCCCAATAACACGCTGATGATATATTTATTACGTACACACATTCTACAGAGATCATCGTTGTACCTATACCATTTATGGAGGCGGTTCGACTCATTATTGTATGGAGTGTCGAAATTTTAACGATCGACTCGGCCAATTTCGATTCGTACTCTTGTTTGTTGC